AATAATTTTTTACCGTTAAATGAAATTTCAAAAACCCGAATCACTTTATCCGATGATTTTGATGGAAGAGATCCAAGAGAATCTTTTCTCCAAAATGCAATATCTCCAACTACCAATTCCATCTAACTAATTCTTCCATTTCCATCCCAAGGCCCCAAAAGGATAATGGGCAGAATGGTAGCTGGGCAGCTAGTTTTATTGTCTGTGCGTTTTTCTGTGTTTATGGTCTCATCTTTTAACCGATTTTATATTGTACTGGTAACAGGAATTAATGTTCGATTAGTATGCATCTTTTTTTACTGTGTTGGTTTTGGATCAGATTGGGTACATATTAAATCAAAGTAGAAGGTTTATTGGAATTTGAAAATAACTGTAAACTAATCAAACTTGCTTATCGTTGATAAGGTTGAGACATATGTCATCCTTGATTCTTTTTTTTTTCTTGTTTTTTTTCTTTTCGAAAAGCGACGATATAGAATTTCTTTATCAAAAAAGGTTGAGTACAACATAAGCAAACAGGGAGAGGAGGGAGACCTCCCCTCACCAACAGTTAACAAACCATTACATTCCAAAACAAGAAGATCAGCCAGGAGATCTGGCGGTTCCTCGAAACAAGAAGATCAGCCAGGAGATCCTTGATTCTTCTTAAAAGGGGAATATTTAGAATGTACTAGTTGAGGTGATTTATGTTGAGGGTTTCCATTCTATATATTAACAGGGAATTAAACTCTGGATTTAACCAATTGTATCTTAATTTTCTCCACGTACTCTTATGACTTCGCCTAACTCTAAGAGATAGATGTTGTTTAACTTACCTTAGTACTGTAATAGACGTTTTTGGGTATAGTAATCAACATTGATCGTGTAATTAATAATATCATTCTATAGCCTCACCATTATCAAGTAACGTTGGCCTATAAATTTTGATGATTATAATATAATTTTGTTTTAAAATATTATTCTGATCACTTCCTTCAGAGAGAGCTCTCTCTCTCGCTCTCTCTCTCTCTCTCTCTGATCCCTCTCTGTTGTTTTTTGTTTCCTCATATAAAATTAAAACATATCAGTCGTGCATGCATGTATAGTGGGCAGGGTTAAGGAAGTCAGTACGTACATATATCGATGTTATATTTTTTTTCTTGGAAGTTGGAAAATATAGGAACTTTCCCATGAAGACGAAGTTAGTTAACTGATATTAACACAATGACATAAACATGCAAATCTGTCTTCTTCTATACGACCCAGATTGACTATAAGGTGTGGGAGGAGGTATCTGAATATATATACTAGTAGAAATTGAAAGCTTTAGTTAGCTAGCCACCACTACATGTCAAATTTCATAGTCAGTCGACTGTTTCTTTCCTGCACAGACACAGCACCAACATGCATGCAGTGGCCCCAATTGCAATATGATGCCATAAACGTGATAAAATGCCTGTTAGCTTGGCTAGGCAGTAAGGCCAAACGATAAATGCAGTGTGAATGACACAATGATTGGAGAACCCCCTAGAAAATAAAAATAAACACGCACCATTTTTCTCCCTTTACACATCTTTGTTTTATTTTGATCATCATTGTCTTTGTTTAATTTATTCAATTCGATGACAAAAAAAAAAGTGTGTACTAGAAGGAGAAATAGAATGTGTGGTTATCATTCCTCATGAAATTATACATGATATTAATTAATGGATAATACTTGCATCCATCTTATGAGGTGCAAACCTAATCCACCTCGTGCTATTAACGTATTCTCACTATACAAATTTCATAATCGAAATCGTTCTTTTTCTTAATCATTCCCAAAAAATCACTTCTATAGAATTCATTCAAATCAGAGATCGTTTAGTCAGTTACATATATGTATCAAATAAATGGACTCACAACTCATCTTGAATATGTATTTTCCTTGATTACAAGGACAATATGAAGGAAATACTAAAACAAAATCGTCATTTGTCATCAACTAGTTAAGTCAATGTTGAGCGCTTTGAGATGGTTTGGAGTATAACATAGAAATAATTACAAGAAGATTCTGATTGCAGAGCGAAGACGACTCCAATATTGTTAATGATGGATTAATATGTGTTCAGACTGAACTAAAAATAATTCAAAGACATTAAGTATTACTCTCTCTCTCTCTCTCACAAGAAGAAAGCTTCTCCCGAAGCACAATCCATTGCCGTTTTCGGGCCAAGCTTCACTATTCTCTTTGTCGCAGCAAGCTTTAGCTCCTAGCTAGTATCTGTTTGACAATTCTAATGGCTGTGTAAGGTAGATTGACTTAATGGTTGTCACAGGTCTCAGCAAGAAATTGTCCGCCATGGACCAAACTCGCATAAAGCTTGATGAATATATGGGATTTCCAACCCTAAATGTGTCTTACTAGCTAAGAAAGATTGAATCTGCATGTATCAAGTATTCACCTTTCCTAACCACACGGTGTGGTGCGATTGGCAAATTGCCACCTTTAGTTGGCGGATTCCCTAGTGCCTTATCAAGTATTCAACCCAGGTCTTTTTCCATGTTTACCCTCATTGATTTTAGCTCTAGCTATTAAAACTTAAAAGCCCAAACCTTATCCGCAATTGGGCTCAACTTCTGTCCATTAACAACTAAAATTGGGCTTGGGTTGTATGGCCTTGGATGAATGAGATCCTTGAAGGGAAGATGAGAATTGAGTGGCAATTTAAGAGCTTTGTTCTTCTGCACATTTTATTCACGTGTTAATCTTTGAGATTTAATTAAATCTCAACGATTACTTGTGAAAAAAAAAAAATATGTGGAAAAGAATTCTTAGGCAATTCAATATTTTGCAATAATAAAAATTTAAAACATAATAATAATAATAAATATTAGTTTATATGGCAAATTAAAAAATGTGTATAAGTTCATATCACAGTTCAAAATTTTTTCCTTAAAAAAATATACTTGTCTTAGTTAGTTGTAGTTCTCACTTTTAGGAAGAAGGCAAACTAAACAGGTGTTCCAGCTCTTTTTAAAAAAGCCTTGTCCCGTAAATCACCCACACTTTACACGAGAAATCAAGTGTCATATTGTGATTATGCTCCTATTAATGATATAACAAATATAGGTTAATGTCACAAAAACTACTGAAAACAAAAGTTACGCGTTGTACCATTCCATGTATGATATAAGTCGACGACGATTTTGATATATTTCACCTCTATGATATATTAATAGAAATCAAGGTTACATGTTGTAATTGAGTAAAACAGTAACACCATGCAACTATTTTCTGGGGTCTATACACTTATTTTTATTTTTCATACACCCCTGTCAATTTTTAATCGTTGGATTAGATGAATTGAAAAAAAATCAATAATAAATAAATTAAGAAAATTATGTGAAAAGTAAAAATTAATATAAATAACATTGTTCTTTTCTGGATACGCTAAAAATTACTTTTAACAAAAAGAGGAGCTGTGGAGCAAAGCAAGAAGTCATTTACTTCCTCCTGGTCATATTGTTGTGGGCCCTGTTGGGAAAATATTGGGCTTAGTCTCACGACAAAAGGCGTTGTGGGCCAAAAGAAAAGGACTACTCAATGGCAGTGTGACTACTTCATATTGCCATCCAATTATCCAACAAGACAAAAGTGTCTTCCTTTTTCCAATTTAATTTAATACCCTCTATTTGATCTTTACAATCTTAATGATGAGAAATTATTTTATGACCAACTACAATGCATTATTTCATCTAATTATACACTTTGAACTTTGAAAGCTTGCATGGCTACAATAAAAAAATTGAATCTTGAAAAACGAACTACTACTATTTGTAAGTGAAAAGTATCAGATTCAAACTCAATGGGTTGGGCTTGGGTTTACCATTCTCATTCATGCCATGTTCGTGTGTTCTCTTTGTAAAGACTCTAAAGAAGATTTTGTTATTGTTTATAGGATTGTCGCCCATTAGCAATTGTGTAATTTTCAACCGTTGATGAATATGCAACGTACCATATAAACAGTTAACATTCATCTGTTGAGCGTAAGCGACTGCACTTAGCATTACATAATGCGCCTACGTTACAAGTTGTACAAGCAATTGAGAGAGTTGGGTGATGGAACTGTTTATAGTATAAAAATCTCTACTTGTAGGGGAAGGGTGATATCGATGTTGTATAATTTCCAGAGGGCAGCTTCTGAACCATTTTTGGAATTATGCTCTTGTTTTTCATGTTTCTTGGTACGAAATGATTCTGTTTTCTCTTTCTAGTCAAACACTCAACAGGAGTCAGAACCCAAGAAAAGCAAACAAACAGTGCTCACAAATGATTAGTCCACTTTCTCTCTCTCTCTCTCTCTCTCTCTCTCTACATTCCAGGTGTTGTTCTTAATCTCCTGTGCATAGAACTGACCTCTATATAGAGTTACCCAATATTACCACTCCAACAAGAATTCACCTCAGAAAAGGCAAAGCTGCAATGAAAATTTAAGGAAATGACACTTCCATGTACCTGAGGAGGTGACACAGTTCCTTTGGCCTGTGCAGACAAATGGCTCAGCAACAACAGCAGGTAGTCCTTTGTCTCCTCTCTCTCTACCTCCTTGGATTTTCCCCTCTGAGCTCAAAACCCACCTCTCATTTCTCTCTCTCTCTCTCTCTCTCTCTCTCTCTCTCTTCTAGATTTCTATGGTGGGTCTGATTTATTTCTTGTTTTTTTCCTATAATTTTCTGGGTTTGTGGGTCTACTTTTTTCTTGCCACATTGTTCAGTCATGTTGATTTTTTGTCATTATTTGTTGGAGGCTTATGAATAATTGATTATTTTGGGATGGTATGATTGATGGGTGGCAGGAAGGGTGGCCACTGGGATTGCAGCCATTGCATGTGAGAGTTGGGCTGGCTGCTTCAAACCATGAATTTTCTGGGTCAGTTTCTTTCAACACCTTACTCACTGGTTCTCCAACTTCCTCCACAGATTCCTCATCAGATCTGGACACAGAGGTCAGTGTAATATTACAGACTAGTTTTGTCTTTGATGGGCTTTGTTGGAATTTTCTAGTCATACATATGACATGTGTATCTGTCTGTATATTATATCTGTATGTATTTGGTTTAGAAATGATGGGTTTATACTGTTTACTGTTGAGTATGTAGTTAGTGGCTTCTGTTTTTGTTTGTTCTACGATGCACGGATACTTCTGTTTGGTTCCGTATCCTGTATCCAATACTTGAGTGGATACTATACTTATCCGATAATCTCGGATACTCGTCCGACACGTATCTTGATCAATGGACAGGAATTTTACATGATGGATACGCGTTTCCTACATTTAGGATACACATATCCAGATTTTAGGATACATTTATACTTTCAAAAAAGGTATTGAGGAGGAGAAAATTAATAGAAGACATCTATAATTAAAAGTTGTTGAATACAAAGAGCTTCCCTCTAATTAAAACCATGAATACGACTCTCACACTTCTACTATATAAAGAGGATTAGATTTCGAACTTTTCTTCTCTAACAACTCAAATGTACTTGAATTTGAATGATGAATTATGTTTTAAAATGTATAGTTTTGTTGCTATATACATTTTTATTTGCCATATCCATAACGTATAGTATCTTAATTTTTAGAGATTTTTCGTATCGCCGTGCCGTGTCATATCGTATCGTATCGCCATATCCGTATCCATATCCATGCTTCATAGGTTCCAGGATGTTTTGTTCATGCACAATTATGCTTGTGTGAAGGCTGTGTTTTTCTTTACTTCATGTTGTATGTAATCTTCATATGATTTGTTAATTAGGTCAAGAATTCGATTCCCTCTAACGGAAAGAAGAAACAAGGTGGTTAAGCTAAAAAAGAATCTGCATATATATGTTGAGATGGAATATACATATATATATGTACCGAGTCTTCATAACTGTTTAGACTATGCTGGACAAGACTGGTGTTGTGTGCTAGGTAACCATAGTGCCACAACCCACAAGTTGAAGAAAATACGCTGCATCATGGGAATATATCCTCTTGTGTTTACAGCAGTCATCGCATATTCGGGTTGTGAAAGATTTTGGACTAGAAATTTAGAGGTTCCTATGCTTTCACTGTAGTTTTGTAGATGATACTGACACTGGACCTAATTTTACATTTGTTACTGTTACTAATTAACAGTATGTGTTGCTAACTGACATCATGTGTTGGTAACTTGCTGTTGCCTGATCTTAATATGAAATGTGAAGAAATTTTTAAAGGAGGTCGCCAATCCGTTTTCGTGTTAAGTTCCATAATCTTTGACAGTGTCAAGTGTTTTTGTACGTGTTCTATGATTGTTAATTCACAAATGTGCTTGGTTGGTTGCAGTCCACAGGGTCTTTTTTCCATGATAGGAGCATTACGCTCGGGAGCCTTATAGGAATCAATAACATCCTAGAGCTCTCAAGAAGATCTCTAAGAGGAAGAAAAACCGATCATCAGGCCACCAAGGACAGGAAGACGAACAACAACGACAGCAACAACACCAAATTCAGACTCTGTTTTCTCTCTTTATGCTCCAAAGACAGTACAGATGATGAGAACGTGCGCAATCATCCGCCATCTCTCGGCCACTTTCTTGCGGCTGAGAGACAAGCGGCCAATGAAAACTACAGAACAAACCCTCCAATTTACGGACCAGACGACGAGCTTGCCCTAGCTGAGCATCATCAGCCTGCTAGAGAATCAAATAACTCACTCTTTGTTGATGGTCAAGTTGCTCCTCCCCAATCTAGTCCACGGCTTGGTTCAGATCATGTCGACCAAAGAAAATCAATGTTGTTTTCATGCATGTGTTGACAACTCTCTCCTTAACCTAGCATTATGTGAATGTCTCTGTCTCTTTTGCTTTCTTATTTTGGGATCTCATTCAGAATTTCATGTTATTGGAAGAAATAAAGAGGTCAATTGACAATTCCATTGCATCCGAGCTCGAATTATGAAAGAAGGAACGAGAAGAAAGTATCGGCAACAACCGAGTTTTATTATTGGGTGCTCATATCGATCTATCATGTTGCCTATGCGTCAATCGTTAGATATATCTTGTACGGTAACTACCCTAGTTCCACCGTATCTTTATATTTCATTTCTTCGGGAACAATCACAAACATTTTTTTTAGCATGGAGAAGAAAACGCATGAAATCTGTATCTGTCTCACCTTTATGGAGCAAATTAAGCTATTTTTCACACCAGTTGGCTAGTGTTTTGGATTGATTAATCTCCCTTAATGATAAGTTACAAAAGCAAATGTTCATCATTTCAATTTATGTTCCAAAAGTATGATTACAAAGACTTATGGGGCCAAACGGTGATGGTATCCTAGGTGCTGTCCTATCAATTGACTAAAATGGCTAGGAAATATCTAGGGGAACAGGAAAATTTGTGTCCACTACCATCAACATTTCCTAAATTTAACCCCAAACAGGATTTGTCCTAGAACATACAAGAAAGTTGTTATTAGTATTTGGAAAAATTTATTATGCACTCTGTTTAGTGTTTAGTGTTTAATGCTTAACTAATTGCGGCAACACACTACTTAGTATTACGGTCTAGTGATATTTCTCTTCATTTGTAAGTACGAGGTCTTAGGTTCAACTCTTGCCAAATGCGAATTTGAACCATATTATTGCTAGTTTATTGTGAGGCTAAGCTCATCTTCTCTCCCTTACTGTAGATAATATCGTTCAAAAAAATTGAGATAATATTGTTTGTTTAAAAAAATTATGGCAACACATATTCTCCACCCAATGACTTAACGACAAGTATACACACAAAAAAGTCCAAACCGACAATAAGTTTGGAGCCTGCGGCATTTAAAGACATTAAGGCCTACATATAAAGATTCATCTTGATCTGCACCCAATAATTTAATGAAACATATACACAAAAATGTTGAAATATAGAACGAAATGTTTGATAAAAGTGTATTAATAAATACATTCACGTGTTATAACAAAAGTAAATTTCGTTATACTTACAAACTTGATCGTAAGGAGAAGTGGAACCCATGAAGCAGCAAGCAAGTCAGTAGCAATGTTTCCATCAGATGAGACTTATGGCTAATTTGGAGTTGCTATGTTTTTTTTTTCAAAACTGTTTATACTATGGTTTGAGAATAAACAGTTGTGAAAAAAAAAAAAGTAAATGTTTGGTAAATTATAGTGCTAAAAGTGCTTTTGGCAAAAAAAAAATAAATAAAAGGAAAAGAAATGGGGGTAGGCTTGTCAATATGAAAGTTTCATTAATTGGTGTTGTTCACCCGCCTTAAATGGAAAACACTTTTTTGACAAGCATGTGCAGAGCTGCTTCTATTTTCTGCTGTTTTGGACTCATAATTAAAAAAAAAAAAACTTTTCTTTATCTACCAAACACAATTAAGGCCCCAACTTTTATAAAAAGTTGCTATTAAAAAAAATTAAGCAATCCTAAACCAACTCTTACGTGAAATTTTTTATTGTGACGGAAACACGGATGGTACACCACGTGTTTTTATCGAAATAGTGGAAAGTTTTATTTTTTAAGTTATTAACTTTATAACACACATATCCCATCATTTATATAATAACATATGATATATCATCCTGTATGATGATCACGCCAAAAAATCTCTCAACTCTTACACTTTCCAAGTATCCATACATGCATAATTTTAATGAACATCATATACTGACATAAATAAAATGGAGAAAAAAACCAGCCAAACGGACTGAAATCCAGGGCCCACATAGTTTAAGTGGGCCTGCTTATTTCTTGGCTTTTCACATACTCACAGGACAAACCTCTGTTCTCTTAGTCAACATCTTGGCAGGTGATGTTTCACTGTTGACCCACCCCAACTGTCCCTGTTAGCGATCTGGCTGACTTGTCCAATTTCATAAATTAAATTTTGGAGTCATATGATCAAATATAGACACAATCACATGAAATTCAATCTCCCAATCACTTTTTATTTATTTGTTGACCGACGCGAGTTAAGTCAGTAAGTTAAAACCGCGTATTTCTAATAAAATCTAATTTAAGTCTTTTATTTTCAATATGTAAATTTGTGAAAATATCTATGGATACATGGATATTGATTTCCCTTTGAGAAAATGATAAAATTTGTCAAAACGTAGAAATTTAAAATAAAACTTTAGGGATTGTCAAATTAGAACAAAATATAAATACTTCTATGATATTTAACGATGTGTAAGAAATATCGATGAAAATACTAACCTTATCGAAATAATTTCAAACATTGATTGTAAAAAAAAGAAAATGACTTTTATTTGTTTGTATTTTTTGCACTACAATCCCATTTCTGTGCACAAACTACAGAAAAATAATTCAATCTTGCCACCCAAAAAATGAAAATAAAATAATATTACATTTCCGCAAGGAAAGAGAAGTGTTTGGTGGGGACCAAAAAGCACACAACATACCCTTCGACTCTTTCCAACCAGCCATTCAAGAATTTTGAACTTTCAACTAAGAAATATAATTTCTTCCTCTTTTTTTTTCCCCTCTTTTTACTCTCTCAAACCACCAACTAATAACTTCCTTGAACCTCAAGTAAACAAATTTAAGAGGACCACAACACATCTAACCCTAACCCAATTTGCCTGCAACTCCCTTTGCTTGTTTTCCAAAACTACATAACACATGGGACTCTTATCTGTACACAGCAGCTCCTTGGATTCTTCTCTGTTTCACTTGCATGAAAGCAACGAATCTGACAAGCATCAAGGCTTGTCAACCCATTCATTCTCGGCAATAATCCTTCCTGAGCCACGGCCGCCCATCTTCCCAAAAGAACCAAGTGCCGATAAGCTCTTGAAGCTGCTGCTGCCCTCGCTGAAGTTTCGGGACCTCCTTGCCTTTCTTAGTTTGGAGGAATTGTTATCTTCGGTGTCATGATCACCATCATCACAACTTTTGATCTTTGCAACTACCAAATGGGCAATTGGGCTTCGGCAGAATGGGCAAACCGGTGGCGTAAGGCATAATGTAGTTGGATTTGGCTTCTTGTGGCAGCAGAGAGCTAGAGTGCATTGTGCACACATTTGGTGACCGCAATTCTGGACTTCAATTGTACACACCTGCTCAAAGCATATGCAGCATTGATCTAATTCGCTTTCCTGCAATAAAACGTCTGAATTAATACTTTGGTCCCCGCGCATTAAACAATATGATAAATGTCTCTATAATTCACGACTGCTGAATATGTCTCCTTGACCTACTAAATCCGAAAACTGTAGGAAAAAATGAGGTGCATCCTACACTAGTAAAGATCTAATTCAGCAGCAAGATCAAAATTTAATGCTTCGAATGGGGACGATAGCCAAGGAAAACACATGAAGCGAAGACAAAATAGTCAGAGTGTTCCAAATGCAAGGATTCAGAAAACTATCATGGGACTCATGGTCCAGTTCACTGTAAGGAAAACAAAGCTCATGACTTCTGATTTTTGATCAGAAACACAGCTTCTGATTTTAAAGAACAAGATAATTCTTATGCCGAAAAAAAAAAAACAAAAAAAGACCAAGGTAATTCAAAACATTTAAAAATTTTCTGTCTAAGCAACCAAGTTCATTGACTCCGTCTTTCAGAAACACTAAATTAAAGGACAAGACAGCAACTTGTCAATCCAAAATTAGAACAACAGACCTCACTCATGTAATGTCTTAGACAATTAAGAAGAAAAGATATTTCATTGGGTGGTTAGATTTCAATCAAACTCTTTTTGGTTATTGAGTAGCAGTGAGAAAGTGGGTGAGACCCACCATAAGCTCCTACTTAACATAATAGACATACTTGAATATGAAGAAAGAGAGGGTGGGAAATTACCACAGATATATTGTCATCCGTCCCTGCATCAGAATGCGACGGAGATGGAAGAGAGTAAGCAGTTCCTTTCAAGATGTTCTTTTCCCTTTCCCTGTTTGCCTCCATTAAGGCCTGTTCTAGTAGAGCTTTTGCTTCCTGATTAAGCTCACTAATAAACTTTAAAGGTGCTGGCCACACAAGAGGCTCAGCTGATGAAGGATTTAGCATGGCCGCACAAGCTCTGTGTTTGTGTTTCAAAGCAACTATATATGGTATTCTCCTGCATATATAAAAGCACATAACATATAAGCTCAAATGGAGTTTCAAAAATCACATTAAGGGATATGATCATCCATTCAGGTGGTCCTAAACAAGAAAAGATTCGAGCAATTTGAAGGTGAAACAAAATGATTATACCATGAGACGATGTAAAACATAGCTCAAGAATTTAGTTTTGTATATAAATTAAGAAATGAAAGTATTACTCAATTTTAGAAAGGAATGAAATTATACCCCGATGAATCTCTTTGAACACGATCTGCACCCCATGCCAACAATCCCCGTATGCAATCCAGAGATCCCCCACTAGCCGCCAAATGAAGTGGAGTGCTCCCAGGGAAGCTGTAAAAAGAAATTCATCAATGTACAGAACAGAACTAACGCTGCTGATTAATCGGGATTAAGAATTTCAGCACAATTCTTACCCATATCTACCAGTTGAAGCAGACACAAGAGCCCCGTTGTCTAACAGAATATGTACACATTCAGGCCTACTTCGACGTGCTGCCAAATGCAACGGTGTTGCTCCTTTACCGTCTCTAATATTCACAAATCGGGCAAATCCCCTGAAATCCAATCCAACTCATGTTATCGATAAGCAAATAGCCAGAGTAATCAAGGAGGGGACCGAATCAGTGTGGAGAGTAAAAGGAGACCAACCAGGAAACAGAAACAGGACTCGAACGAGCAGTAGAAACAATAGCTTGAAGGCAACCGGAATGGCCATAGTAAGCGGCATAATGCAAGCAAGTTCTTCCGTTGAGGGAATCAAACATCAATACCTGATTAATATCCCACCATGATTTCATAGTTAGTATTTAGAAATACGAACAAAATTTTGCAAATCAAAGACAAAAACAAAAAGTTGGGATTTTACACATACATTTGCTCCTGCTTCAAGAAGCTTTTGCACGCAGGAGATCTTGCCATGCATTGCAGCCAGCATCAATGGAGTCTGAACCATTTCCAATAAACAAAACCATGAGACAATTAGAACAAGAAAAACAGAACAAAACAAAAAATATCAAAATTCCAAAATTTTCACATTCGGAGCCAAAAGTAAATAAAATTACCTGCTTGTGACGATTTAACGCATCTGGATTTACAGATCGTTTTAACAGCATAGAAAGAATCTGCGAATCAAAGTAAAAACGGAGAAACAAGATCATGAATCAAACATCTAAACCGCATAAAGATTTCCCAAAAAAAAAAAAAAAAGATTAACCACCAAGAATAAAAAACCCAGAAACACCCATTTGCCAAAAATCTAGAAGAACTCGAAAAAATCATTGATTTTCTGAAATCCCAATGAAGCAAAAGAGTCAATACGAAGAAACCACCTTGATCTGGCCGTTAGCGGCGGCGATATGAAGAGCAGAGTGGCGGTCGTAGACGGTGGAGTGGCGTAGGAGAGTCGGGTCTCTCTCTAACACATCTTCCACAGTGTCCAGCTCCCCAAATTGTACGGCTCTGAACAGCCCATGTACGTCACTCTCTCTGCAACTCAATCCCTGACCCATCTCTCTCTCTCTAGTTTCTCTCTCTTAAACTCAAGTAATGGAGTCAATGGGAGCACTTCATTAAGCTGTATCTTTGAGCCACCTTCACCTGAAGGCAGAAGGTGGTGGCCTCCATCTCCAACTGAATATAAAGGTTTCACATTTATGCATTTCAAGTAGAGAGAGGAGGAGAGAGAGAGCTTTGGAGAAAGGGAAGCTGACCGAGTCAGTGTTCGGGCAGTCGCTGGGATTGACTACGGGCAGTTAGATTTGATTCCGAAACAGTACGATGGGCCAACCAGCGACACCCAGTTTGATTAAATGAATCGCAGCCGTTGCAATTTTTACTCTATTTTTCCAGTCGTTGGATTGGAAATAATAAGGCTGCTATTGTTGAAATTAGGGATGTTTAATTTGATATTAGGAAAATGGTTTACCGTGTTGAAGTTTGACTGTATTTACTATTTAGTTTTGGGCAGAAGGACAACTGAATTGACGGTGTCTAACTTGGACAAGGATTGTTTCCCTCTCACTTCCAGTGCCCTTTCATATCCTTCTGTTTATAAGGTCACGGTTAAACCACGTCAACATTTTATATTACTATTTATTTTTATCTTATTATCTCTATAAAAAAAATATAAAATGTTAACGTGGCTTAACTATGATCATACAAAACAGAAAGGCACGGAAATACATGGGGGACAGACTTGTCCGTCTAACTTTGCATAATTATTTAGGCATGTACTACAATATTTTAGTATATTAAATTGGGTGTTAAGTTTTTATATGTCGTGAGTATCGAGTTCGAAACGTTTCATTTTATAAATTATTATAATAATTTAAAACTTTTTTCTCTGTTAATAATAAGATTTTTTTTAATGCAAAGATTCTTTTTCGTTTTCACATAAATAATATTGACGAAGTGGAGTAATGATTTTTCATCTCTTTTTTAATTGGATTTATCGAGTAAATGGTTTTTTTTTTTTTAAGTCAAATTAAATATGGAGCAATGTTGCATGCATCATCCTCTATAAAAAATAATAATGCTGCATGGATCTTACTTTGCATTACGTGCATGCCATTAATTTGTTGGGAAATACTATATATTGACAATATTGAAATTTGGGGTGGGCACGGGCCGAGCCGGGTTCAAAATTGAAGGGACCGGATCGAACTCGCTTGAAAATACAATAGGCCCAATATTTACCTAATATTATTTCTCACTCAAACTATGCACACAAGACTATACATGTGAACAAGGATTGTCGTTTTAAGAACTTTCGTCAAAGTTACCAAAAATGAACTCTTGCATCAAAAGCCTAAATGAAAAACAAATTAAATCCAGCCAAGTCTAGTAATGGAAGTTTGTAATAAAATAAAATATTAAAGTGATTAATTGTATAAGGTGATTGAGCTTGGCCTTAGAAGTAAGAACCACAAGAAACACCCTACACGAAACTCCACCCTACACGAAACTAACTCTCGGCAACAAAACGTGGATTAAAGATCAGTAAACACTTTGTTTAATCAACAAAATAAACTAATTTAAGTAATGGAGACTTTTCTCTTTCAAGCAGGAACCAGATTAATTCTTTAATTTGTTTTTTCTAATACTTTGAGTTTGCATGAATACCTCCTCCTTTCACACTTGCCGTCGGCAAAGGCAGAATGGTTATTTGTTTTTGTTTTTAATGAATTTTAAATACTGGGATCGGTACTTTTGTTTTACTTTCCCACCCTTTTGTCGGTGTTGATATATTTAGGGTAAATTACATTTTATCTTTAAGTTTAAGTTCAATTGTAATTTCATATTTCATCTATAAAATATTACAATGTTATATAAGACTTACCATTTGGTTACAATGTCATACATCTATTATTCAATCCATTTATTTCGCTATTAAATGATGAGTTGACAAAATAAAACTCATATTTTATATTGATGTGGAGGACAACTTCAATTTTTTTTTATTTTTTTTTTACAAAAAAACAGATAATTGACTAACGAACGTATGATATTGCAACCAATCTATAAGTTTGTGTATAACATTATAATGTTTTATATATGAGGTATAAGGTTATAATTGCACACAAACTTGAAAGTGCAAGTAATTTATGTAAAGTTCTGTGAATGGTAATGTGTGACAATTGGTTTACTTGAGAAACAAATCACTTGATTATTCAGTGATGTGCAATTCGAGTAAATTAAGAGTCCTAGTTAGGTAAGAATTGTGGAGTCTTAAATCATTGCATCTAATCTAGGAGAATAATCTAGAGTTTCAAATACAAAGATATTGCATCATGATAGAACTCAATCAAGGTGATAGGGTTGACCTTCGTAGCTGTTAATAGGCTGACTAATAAGGAACCCCAATGGTATATAAATACTAGGTTAAGTCCATGCTTCCATATGTTGAATTCCTAGAATTCTAAAACCTATTCATATAGTATAGTAATATTTTGGAGTATTGGAAGGAAAAGACAACCTTGTGAACTCATATTTTGTCATCCGGAAGAGACATGTCTTTCCTATTCTACAGATAAGTTCAATATAATTAGTTCATCTCTATTTTATATTGATTTGATTTATTCGTGATCCCAATATCTTTTATTTTTTGGTAAAACGTGATCTAAATGTCTTGTTGTTGTGATTTCATAAAATATCTTACAATTTACCCTATATTTTAATTTTTAACTACCTCAGTGAATATTATTCTTCTGTTCGATAAACTATAAATTAGTTTACATAAATTTATCTATACTATAAAAAATGAGATTTAAATTTAAATACTTAAAAAAACACATTACTCTAACTACCTTAGTTATGCTCAAATCTGTTGGCAATGAATATTATTTCCTCAAGTTAATCCCCCTTTTTTTTTTCAGACATATTGTTGGGGGCCACAATTGATATTTTGGAACTTGAATGCTTATTTGCAATGAAGCAAGGGATATTTGTCAAATAAAAGCTACTTAATCATATAATCAATAATAATTGGGTTTCCCTTTTTAATCATAATCATTAATAATTGGGTTTCTCTTTTTCTGTTATTCTTTCATTTTCTTTTTGACGCTGATGCCTTCTATAGTGGATCAGAATCTTAGGTTAAGATGGACCGTACAAGTGTAATAAGCTGGTACTTGTATTTTAAGCTAATAAAATTTGATAATACTTGATGTCTTTCAGAAGATTGTGCCTCTTTTGGTTAAGAAAACTAAAGAAGAAGAAGACGATGATTACGTCTCAATGTGCAGTGGAATCATAAGAGCACAGTTAACCAACAATGCCACATGGTTAGAGGGAGGTTTCATTTAGTAATGTTCTTTATTAGGGAGACAATCTCGTTGAATTTACAGGAAATTTTGGGTCTACCGTTAATAATTCATGTGTTATTATATGAATGAACTAATATGTCATAACATGTAATTGGATTGATAATATCACGTGGTGTTGTGATAGTCGTATTAAAAACTTTTTTTAATTGAAAATGTTTATCAAAATATAAAATATAGAACATTTAGGATTACAAATTCAGAAAAAAAAATATTTTAATTTCATATATATATATATATATATATATAAAGATTGAAAATATATGTGCAACAAATGTGTTAGCATTTAAATTTACAAAATTCTCAAATGATCACTTAAACAGGTATATCACATTCGTCCTGATTGTTTTAATTCATAAAATGAATGTCTCATTCAAGTTGAGAGGGTGTTATGTGGTCTATAACTATTTGAATAAGTTAATGTAATTCTTCTGGAACTTACATGTAAATCTTCGTATTAATATCCTCATGGAGAAACGCATAAGCACATTAATATGCTGCAATCAATCACAAAGCATTTAAGAGAAGCCATGCGTCATAAGATGTGCATTCTGACTATTTCATTAATCTCATTACGCTTCCTTTCTCACTTATAACATGATAGGGTTACCTTGTGCAGTGCATAAGTGATAGGTCCAAACACACTTTGATAAGGAATCTAATTTAACATGGATTGTCATTTGACCAATCGGTTCTATGTTGTCACTTAATCAAAGGAACACGGTTCGATATCGTTGTTTTTTCATTTATGTCAGTAGCTACCATATAAGTGAAACATCATCTATGATAATCTCATTCCAATTTCATATCTCACCCAAACAAGTAAATTGGATCAAGCAGTTCATGTCTCGGGATAATCCAGATTAATCTTATGAGATGGACTGGTTGAGATAGCGATCAAGTAGGGATTCATTTTGTGCCCATATTCTTCCTCTTGCAGGGAAGTAAATCCTACAAATTGAGTGATATGTCATGCTTCTAGCCAAGGATAGATGATTGGCTAACCACCATTTGTACCATGTTGTCCATACATGGGTGACATGCCCTATCAGGGATGACAAATCATCCTTCAGGGGCGGCACATCCATTGAGAGATGTTAGCTCGACGTTAGTTAGATACGTCTATATTTATATTATAAAACTAATTATTGAGAGAGAGAGAGAGTAGAGGAGGTGCGGCTAGAGAAGAGAGAAGGAGATAAGGGATTGGGAATTTTGTGTGTTATTCCTCATGCCTAGTACATCTATTTAATCATGATGAGCTTTAGTACTTGCCTTACAAGTTATGCAAGTTGTACAAAGAAAGAATCTTTTGGATCCTATAAAGCCATCTCCAACCGATGGTTGGCCAGATGGCTCGTTTTAGCCCTCTGGCCCTCCAAGATCCTCCAAGATATTAATATTTTAATGAACAATACATGGCCAGATTTGTCTTTGTCTCCAATCGAGGGCCAGAGAGCTCGTTTTAGCCCTGTCACAAAAAACCGTCTCAAATCGAGGGCTAGAGGGCCATAAGGTCAAACATAATTTATTATTTAAAAACTACAACTTAAAATAAAATGAAACAAATTTTGTGAAATAGAAGTTATAGGAAAAATGGAATTTAAAAAAAATATGAAACAAATTTTGTAAAATAAAAGTTATAGGAAAAAATAGAAGTTATATGAAAATTTTTGTAAATAAAAAATAATAATAAAACTGTAAAAAAAAAAAATATCAAATGCAACGGCTACTAGCCGTTGCATTTGAATTTTTTCTTAAGAAATCCTGTCGGTTATAACCGACTGGAATACATTGATATTATTTAGTATAAATGTATTACTGTCGG